CCACTTCTGTTCTGACTTGTCGGCGATAAACGTTTTCGTTCAACAATGTGTCCTCCCTATACTCCTTTATTGCTCCTCTGTAATTTTCCCTGGTTTGCTGAAGGCTGGTTTCAAGTTGCTGAGGCGTGGCCTCTCAATGATCAACCGTGTCTCTCAAGTTCCGTTATCTGTTCCGATTGTCAATATGCGTAATGCCTATATTGATGCACGCTTGAAGTTTGCTGACAATATCCTATCTGAGTGCACCCATCCTCTACTAAAGGACTTGTGTGCATGTAAATCCCACCCCTCCATCCGTTCCAACTACAAACTTATCCCGTCTCTCATATCCGCAAACAGAAACTCTTTGGTATCCTATCTGGCCCGGATACCGACCGAAAAGGAAAGTGTTCGCTCTGAACTTTCTAATATATTTAGTAATTAACTCATATTTTTGTATGTTTCATATCCCATTTTTTCACCTGTTTTTACCAGAAGTCTAACGGTGGTCTATTTTTGGCTGAAAGCTTGTACATAGCACGCTAACGCTTGAATACAATACAATAAAATACAACTTCAGAGCCAAGAAAATAGAATGAAAAGCAAGTAGGGTTGTTTCGACTGTGCAAATTCTCAGTATCAGTTTGAATCCATCGATCCAAATGGGGAGTGCGAACATGGAACCACACAAGAAGAAGGCACGCAGTTGACCACCGATCAGTCGAACAAACCGATTATCAGCCCCCGCTGTCCTTATGCGCGCGAAAATAAGCACAGTTAGCATTGTGTAGTCTACTTCAGGAATTGTTCAATAAATATTCCGTATGGTGCAAACGATACAGACATCAGTTTTTCCAGAATTGGACAATTATTTTTTTTTTGTTCCCTCGCGTGCAATCTATCGTTGGATGACCTTATCTGACCCCCTCCCCCCCCACCCCCGAGTGTAAAAGTGATGTGATGTTGAAAACCAATTTGATCGGGAACGATCAACAAATCGATATACGTGTGAAACTGGACCGAGAAGAAAGACAAGGAGCATGAGTAATGAAAACACCGCTTACACGTTGAGACCATTTATAGAAGAAATAAGTATGTACATAGATATGGGCGTAAATAAATATACATATATATGAATAAAGAGATTACACAATAAAATCTCGAAAGACCGATTGGATCGATAGGATCGATTGGAAAGTTTGAATGTAAAGCTGCGCCCCGAGCAAGTGATCCAAATGACAATGGACGGAACTGATGATTAGGATGTGAGAAGAGTTTGAGGAGCGTGATTGGTATCGAGAGGAAGATGAAAAGAAGGAGAAGGGGAGTGACAAAAATATTCGGGGGAATAAAAATCTATGGAACAGGTCTAGTGAAAGAACAAATCCACTTAATGAGTTTTAAAGGCAAATGGAATGAATCCTGCTCGAGAAGAACGATGTCGTACAATTGCTTGTAGTTTTCCACTAGTGATGGGGTCTGCAAAACCGGGGAAAAAAACTATGGTATTATGCGCACATACTATTCAAATAATGCTGTATGTTAGGATCAATAACATTGCATTATATATATATATATATATATATATATATATATGTACAAACCATGAGGATAGCACTTACCGGCTGATTCAAATAACCAATCTTCAAAACTGAATTGAACTGATGTCCTTTGATCATGTCAATATCGTGCGCGGAATCACCCAACAAGATCACGTTCGGCCGAGTCAGACTGGTGCTCCGCATTGACTGGAACGCACCTAACTCAAGCACAGTGGATAGGGTTTTGTTCTGGGAATGGATGGTAGGTTGTCTGAATTTCACTGCTGTACCCTGCAATGGTTGACAGAATCGAGCGGGAGGGAGAGTTAAAGCAAAGATTAGTCACATTTTTGACAGCAGATTATGTGCAGAGATGAGAAAAAAATCAGGGTAAGTTAAGGAGGATGACAAACCGCTATCCCCCTCACCCAGGATGTAAAATTGTGAAGATAATAAGAAATACAGAATAACTAAACATTTTTAGGAAAAACAAAACTGGATCAAAAACGATATTTTTGAACATGTGAACAAGGGAGAGGATCCGATTCGATTCCGTTCTATTTTGTACCGAGGTAGAAGCAACTGAAGAGCGTTGAAGCACTGTTTCGACTTGATTCGGCTGCATTTAGCACTACGAATCCTTGCAACTCAAAATTGATTTCAAACATGCTTGCTTCGGGCAGCCAGGATCACCATCCAAAAGGAATTATGAGAAACACACTGACTGCTAAACAACGATGACGTTCCGAAGCTAAAAACAGACGATAGGGCACTTGTGATCACGTGAATGACAAAGGCACAGACAGGCAGCATGTGCATGCTATTGGCGTCGAACTAATTTTTTTTCAATTTTTTTTTGACATCACGCAGAATAGCTTTGATACCAACAGAGAACGAAAGGGATACACAGTCTTTTAAAGATACTACAGTTTTAAAAATAACGGTCGAATGTGGAAGTTTGTTAGTATTTTGAATCTAAAACGTCTGCCCCAGGCTGAGTGAAAACAAAATCAATAATTAGCTTTTCCTACTGAAACTCATCAACTAGGCTCAAAAAATGCTCTCAAAAGATAAAAATAAGGTCACAGCTGATATGGTTCACACCGACCCCGTGAAAACCTGTAAGAAGAAATGGGCATGACAAAAAGGCGTGCGATATCGACAAGGACACGTGTCACGGTGCATACGGTGAACCAGTGCATCACGAGCACGATAGAAGACAGTAAAAAGCGTCTTCCTCGTCCGGCATGCTGCAGTATAACGGTGCGGGTTACAGCCCGGGTTTGAATAGTTGAGCATCACGAATAAGATGACTGAAGTTTCCTCAAATTGGTGGGGAGGCTTTTTCACTTGGCTAGGTAGGTAGTTGTAATCCACATAGTTGGTTGTCACCCACCCCAAATAAGGTCCTGCAATGGGTTTTGCAATGTTTTAGGAACCAGATTCCTAACACGAGGACCGAGACTGAATGGTGCCAATAAGAATGACTGAGAACCGAGTTGAAACAGAATACCAAACTCGGAATACAAAATCCTTTCGTGGTATACTAAAATGTCCTTTGTGGTATACCATACGAAAATAGGCTTTGGTTTACACCCTTCAAGTACGTAATCAAGTACGTAGTGCAACAAGCCAAAATGTAGAAATGTGAACCATGATATAAGTCTTTATCATGTTAATGATGTCCCGTTGACGCCGATTTCGCGTCAATTTATAAAACTCCAAACTAAACCACTGAACAGTGATAGAACATTACGTTCTTTATCACTATGGTACGGTGAAATACAGTGAAGCAAACTTTGCTGATCACTGTCACGCCCACAATATACACAAATTAAGTGATAAGTTACAAGACGGAGAGCAATTGGGTCAATTAGAGAGAGGTACAGAAAGTGAACTACTATGGCCAACACAGAGTGTACAATCTAATTATGCACACATACATTTTCAAGCATTCTAGTCTGACAATAAATGACAACAATAACGCCACTGCTATTCGTTCGCTGTCATATCCTTCAGTGTCTCCAACCAGCCAGTTGCAGGGTTTTTTGGACTTCAACCTGGAGGACGGGAGAAACCTATTCTATGTCGGATGATTGCTTAGATATCCAAGGTGATGATTATAAGACTAACAGGCAGAGCTGATCGGGAAATTGGGAACGAGTTAATTCCTAAATGCTTACATTCTTGTCAAACTCGATGAAATTCGCCACCACGTTGATTGAGTCCAGTTTGATGCTGGCATTGTGCAACATTTGCTGGATCACATCACCCAATCCCGCAGAAAATATAGTCAGCGGGACTTGAACCTCTTGCAGATAGTTCGTAAATTTCACGAAGTCTTTTCTGAAAATTACATGGAAAGAGAAATATCAGGCATTTGCGACTTTTATCTTATTTTAATTTCAGTTGATGTTGGACTATCAGTCTTGACATCAAATAAAAGAGGACCAAACCGGGATAGTCAACTGTTCCGTTTCGGCTGTGGGCCGCTCAGAAACAAAATTCAACCTCAAATCAGCCATTTTTACACAGACCTGGAAACCATAGCAACCAATCTGAAAGCCTGAAAATAGGTTTGAGAGTATGGTGACCATTAAGAAGGTCTAGCCGAAAATTATGATTTGTATTTGGAGTTCTCGAAAAAAATGCGAATACTTTGTGCATTGTGCGGGACAAGTCAAACTATTTGTCATTTGCATCACTACTTTGAATAGCTTTCGCCCTAAACGTCTGAAAGTTTATTTAAAATCAACAGATTCAATCCGTTATGGTTTTATCTAGGTATCAAGTGATTACAATCGATATATATATATATATCACGTGCTTATTTGCTGTGTACTGAATGAAGAGAGATAAGCAATTTAGAATACGCGTGCTCAACTTAATAAACACTCTCGTGGAACAGGAATCAACTATTAAAAAGAATGAATTCTCATGCTACTTTGTCTAAAATATTTTCGGAATCTCAGCTGTAACTTTCGAACTACAACAAAATTTATCGTAACACTCAAGGTCACGCAAATTCAAACGGTGATAGAAGAGAACTAAGAACATAGAAATGGGAGATGAAATCAGGAATAAATACACTTTACCCACAGCCATCAATACACAAGTATGATATTAGAGACTGAAATGTATTTCCAAAACCAGAATGATGTTGCACGAGTTTGATCAACACCCGTATAGGACAATAATTCTAACCGATAAGCAAAAGCTGAATGTGAGTTGATCGATAGTGGAGAGAAATTCTAAACTATCCCTATTAGTTCGTACAATCCCAGTTGAGGTCCAATAAATCATCGGTTAAGACAGTTGAATCGTTTTTCCCCACTGGCATGTTGACGACAGTATGAGAAATTCAAAGTATCTTGGTTACAACCTAAATAAATACGTATCGATCATCAGACGAACGTGTTTAAAGGTTTTCCATGTAAAAGAATAAATCAATCGGTTCCAGGTGAAGAACAGGTGCTTATTCTTCCCTAAGTTGGTCTAAGGTTTTCCTGAAGATTTGAGCTTCTAAATCGTGTTCGGAATAGGAAAAGGCTCTCTATGACTGGAATAAAGATTCCAGAAACAGGTAAGGTTGAAGTGAATAAAGCAAACAGTTCCTGACCGTGCAGTTCGGATTGCTCAGGCACAAGGAACTAACCAAATCACCACACCACGGAGAAGCAGATTTTCTCTTCCCAACGTTTTAGTAATCACTTTTACGCCTAGTCGTCCCCGTGCAACTTTCCGTACCGGTTGGATGAAAGCAGTTTCCATTACCGTCCCGATATGAATAGGCCGTGAGGCGTCTGATCTGGTCGTTTTGCCCTCACTCATTCGCATTGGCAAGACGTGGGAAGAGATGTGATGTGTTTCGCCTAACGATCACGGAACCCGGTCTAGCGATGCGTATCCTAACGATTCACAGTTAAAAGATAGTTGCAAACAGCGCAGGTCTTGATTGGTAGTGTCATCCAAAACATGGATTCGAAAAAGAGAAACGTGTGGTATTTTATGGGGCTGATCCTAGTCTGGTCATTTGTACCGTATGGAGGTTAAGAGAACACCGATAGAGGAGGTTGCACAAACCACGCTGCCATTCCCTTTTCGTCATCCTGACGAGTACGTATCCAGGGCGCTCGAGAAAACGTGATAGTTTAACGAAGCAAAGTTGGAATAAATTGGTGATGGTGATCAAGCGGTTTAGTTCACTATCACTAACTCGGGTTTGTTCGTAAAACTCGAAGTTCAAACCCCACCACTGTATGGCTGACGTTGGTCCCGGTCTAATGCCATGCTTAGGTCGCATTACCAATGTCTCCATTCGAACTCCTATGATTAGGACTGCAGCATTCCATAGGTAGGGATTGCATCCTTTCGTAGTCTTTTTCCCGCTACCTTTTATCACGCTCAGATAGGTCACATAGACGACAGAACTGAACACTTTTTTAAACAATTTTAAGAAGGGAACGTAGAAATTCTGGTGACAAAAATCCTCACAGCTGTGGCTTACTACCACCCCCTTACGAATAACTTTCTCACGCTATCGTCTCCATCATGGCAAAACAAGGGAACACCCAAATGATTTCCCGAAATTCACGCAGGTTTTAAAACAGAATGATGAATGGACAAAACTCGGCCACGCAAAAATAAGTTTTTTTGACGAAGTTAAAAAACAGGACATTGGCTGACCGAGATTCAACATTCTCGATCGATTTATCCACCAAATTATTGCTAGGGTGAGACTCAACGGATATTAAACCAGGGGAAGACATTATGACGACCACAGTGTCCCCGTCTCATTCATTATGTGTATCAGCAGCAGCAACACTCAATCGGTTACCCGATGCCTTTTCTAACTCCTATCACCGAGGATTTTAACTGGCACCACAAACTACCGATGACGTAGTTCTTTGCAAAGGCGAATTCGTCGTGTCTACAGCAAATGAAGCGTGAACTGAAAAGCTAGGAAGCACTGGACAGCTGTTTCGACCTGGTTGGATCTCACTCGTGCATTGCGAATCCATCGACCTAACTGAGGATCAAACCCGGGACCTCACAGGCAGAACGCAAGTATGTTATTCACTCGGGCACCGGGTACCTGATCAGACCGTTTTTCATTTTACATTTACACGATATAACACAACGCATCTTTGCAAGCTTGTTGCGTGCGTCGCGCCTCGTTTATCTCAGTACTAGCCTTCGGGGTTATGACTCGGTTGGAAACATTCACAACTTGACTACTTGTTCCATGTGAGTAATGAAGGATTTGATTCCATTTCAAAGATGCATTTGTCTTGTCTGTAACAAATGAAGCGTGAACTGAAAAACTTGAAAAGCACTATCCTTTTTCGGAAGACTCATATCCGTGCAACATTAGTGACGACACCCAGTTTCCTTTAAAAGGACACAAAACAACAATATTTCAGGTACTGATTAATTCCACAAATGCAATCAAGCCGTCCCGGTCGGTAAAAAGAAAAAGATATCGGTAAAAACAAAATCTGGTGACAGACATCAAGTTGAATCTTCAGACACATTTGACTTCCCCGCCGACATCCNTCCGATATCTACCAGTAGCGATATGTTTCCTGTGATCTTATCACTTTTTTTTCGTTATGTACAACGGTAAATAAAGCCCCAATCCAGACAGAAATACAACTGCTATGTGTCTTAGGAGTGTTCGGGCATTCGCTCTTGTTACGAGTGTACCTCGACTAACTGTTATTCGGTGAAAGTTGATGATACACAATCGTCTGCAAACTTCTTAGTTAAACGTACAGAGATCTCCTTTCATGGTGGTGGTGGTGGAACAGTGGTTTAGTCACCGGTCACCGGCTTGCTTTAGACTGTTTGGTCGAAGATTCGAGCCGCGCCACCGCCACCCCACTTCGGTGGTGGGCAAGTTTGCTAGCGTCCGCGGTTTAATGCTACACCTAACCTAGGGGGGTCTTGTGTGGTTCGACACTCCAAGTGCCGTGGTTAAGGTGACCGGTTTCCAACATTGAACAGTAGGTCCTCGTGACCATGTGGTTTACCCCGTCGGCTGTTTATAGCACTAAATTGTGTCATGAACAAATTAAAAATAGCTCATATCATAGTTTAATTATGCCTGCCACCAACGCAACGATTAGATCGCATAGCAGTTAGTTTTCTGGATTTATACAGTGCTGTTCTCTGTGGACACATCAAACAACAACAGCAACAACAACAAGAACGAAAACAACAGCAATGATCACATGAATGAAACCGTACAAGTTAGCACTCACCGCAAAGCGATCGGTGCAACTGACTCAATCTCGGTGATCATTTTTCTGGTGATTGGCTCAGACAGCAAGAGTTCGTGTGACATATTCCACCACCGCTCCAGATTGGCACGTCGCACAACAGGGCTTAGGGTATAGTTGGTTTCCAGCGGTAAAAAATGCGCGCGTAAGTCACGTAGCTAAATATGGGCATGGGTGGATGAATAGATAGATAGTTAAATAAGAAGCAAGAGATGAGAAAATCGCGACAATGGAGAGTAGCATCATGGCGAACGAGAAGGAGCTTGATCAAATACAACAGACAATCTCACACATGCATCGAGACTTACCTTATCTATCGTTGATTGTTCGATATCCGGATGTTTTTCAATTGCTTCTGCAAGGAACCCAATTCGGTAAGAAGGAGCCGAACAATCGGACAAACATACCGTGTGTAGTGAGCATTCTTATCTCACCGTCGCGATACATGGAGATGGTATGGTCAAAATCGGATATTACCTGTAGGGAAACATGAGCAGATTAGGTGGGATGTGATTCAAAGATATACGAACCTGAAGTTTATCATATCCGTCGGCAATCATTCTGCCCAGCTGTGTAACCAGTTCGACTTCATTAGAGATCAAAGTATCCGGGGATCGAACCTGTGAAGAAATTTATGAAGTCATGGAATGCAAACATTACAACGGTGCGGAATATCACGCGGTAATCGGGGGTAAAGCAAGCTGTTTAAAAAATTCGAATATCTTGCACGTTTTACAATGTAATTGAACACCCCTCTCTCCCCAGAAGGAAGATGTAGAGTTTTCAATTTGTTTGTTACTCGAAGATGGTGGAAAAGAGGTTGCTTAATCATGTCGAATGGCATACTTGACCAGTTCTCGTTCGAGAACGCACAGCTAACGTATGAGGATGATGAAGGACACAATACTGCAACTTATTGATCATCTGGCCCGAGGCGATTTCACACCATGTGGTTGGTACGGCCGATGTGCATGCTAGTAGCCTGGTAGAAATCCATTCGAGTAGCCACCGTTTTAAGGTCAGCTGTTTGTAGCTAACCCATCAAGTATTTTGGTTACGATGTGCACAACGTGGGACGATACAAACCGATACTGATCGGAACACCAGTCACAACTAACCCTCTATTGGTTAATGTGTACTAAGTAGGAGTGTTATAACTGGTTCTCTTTCTGCCGTGACGTGACAAAGTCAAGCATTTGGACACGTGACACGTGTCAATCAGTCATAATACGACACGCACAGAGGGAGTAGTGGTATACTTGAAAAATCTGATAATGAGTTGCACTGTACATGCAAAATACGTGTATACAGATGTGAGTGTGAATAGATGGATACCACGAACGATAGTATTCCGGAACGGAAGTAGAGCTCACGTTTTCTCAAATTCCACACGAGCTGTAATTTCTCCTCCCCGGCATGAATGTAACCACGCAATTACGTAATTGACGAAGTTGCCCAAATCCAAGGCATAGGAAAGCAAATTAAAAACCATGAGAAAGTTGTGTGCGTGGAACAACGAAACTTTATATGGCAACTCAATGGTTCTTTTCTATTCCGGTAGTTCGATTGACAAATCCAACGCTTTTGGACACGACACTGTAACGGTTTTTCAGTTAATTTTACAACTAACGATATTTTTCACCGAGTAATAACGCACTTTACAGAAGAAATTGTTTCCAGTCGCCAAACGGGTGACAACAATTTAGACTTATCTATACGAATGCCCGCACGAACAGAGTTTGATGAACACTTACGTTAAAAATATCATTCGTATTAGCTGGCAGGTTTGAGGTAAGCACATGGTTCGAGTCAGCACTTCGGAATTTCATCACCACTCCGCAATAAGCCCGACGATACACTCCCCGTGCCGGACAGCCCTGGTATTTAAAAAGAATGGGTAAACGAAGCCACAAGGCCATTGGTCCGTTTCCACCGGTAGGAAGCTGTCTAGCACGTTGTCAGGGTGTGTACTCATCCAACACGGACCAGGGCGATCCACAGCAGGAGGAGGTGGAGGAGGCGAAGGAAGAACGACGAACACACGGCAGCAATTGTTCCAGGCTGTGATAGAGCTGGGTTGGTGAATCGACAGGCCACGGAAATGCAGCATGCCGTGTAGACACGCGTCAAACGTGGTCTGGTTTACTCGGACCAATAGCACGCATGCAATGCCAATTGGCCTATCGTACGTGTCGGTTCGGTCCACTGTTCACATTCAAGGTCACGCAGTCAGTAAACAGCTGATTTGATGACGGTGTTGGGTTTCGGGGCGAATAGAATCAGTGCACTGGGCGTGCGTGTGGGTTTATAACGGATGGAACAGATGGCAGTGTCAGAAACCGCCGGATATGTGGGTGTAGACGAGCCCTACGGAGGCTCCGGGGTGTCACCTGTTGCTTGAATTTTTAGAAGATTTTGATTCTGTTATTCACCGACTTGTCTTTGATTAACTGTATTCGGTGGTCGATCAGTGTTTTCGCCACTCGGGTATGACTCTGTCTTACCTTAAACTGACCCACAAAGAAAACTAAACTCCGATTGAGAACGAGGCAGCGCTTTTTCCGTTGTGTTTGGAATTACTTGAACTGCCACAATAGTTTGTAATTTAGTTGGAAGAAAAACATCGCCGGTCTGGTTTCACAATAAAGGCAGTAAGGGAAAAGACAACTGAACAAAATGGGTAACGGAGATTAATTTAAAACCTATAGTTAAGTCGAAGTTCACTTGCTACCAGTTCTCCACTGATGGATGCATAAACATTCAAGTCTCCCATTGCTTCGTTTTTAAACACGCTAACAATCTATGACCAGCCTCCCCACGTTGTTCCTTCAGTGTAGGGAGATGGAATATCAGATTTTTAGTATTTTTAAAACACGGGGTGGGAGAACATGAATGGAACATGAATGCTCAAACACTGACCACATAGTTGCTGACAATCATTTCAGCTAACTGTTGGATGTGGCACTTCGGATACGTTGTCACAGGAAGGCTTTTCTTGCACGTATGCAACAGAGACGAGGGAGGTTCCTGTTTATTCGAACAGCTATTCCCTTTTTCACAGATAATTATCCGGTTCTGCGAAATATATTTTTCTCTTTATGCATTTATTCTACACGAGAATATATGCGTCGGCTATTCGCATCCGTGGACCCCGAAACCTGTGACTGAATGGATTGTATGGAATGCCTCTCGCACATCGACAGTGGCACTGATTTCGTTAAAGTGTATATCAGTCGCGTTCACATTAGTTTTCATTGGTCCTCCCCAGCTAAGTTGGATGGCGTTCCGTTATTTTATCAGTCAGGCGCCCGATGGTGTGGCTAACGTAAAATTCCTTCACAGGTACGAGAGAACTGTTTTGGAAGAACGAAAACGTGCAATTCTGTTGAAATTCGCTGAAAATTCACCCGTTGGGTGCATTGGATTTATTATAAATTGAGGAATAAGTATTTTTATCACATTCCTAAGTCATTAGCTTACTATCTTAAGTGTATGTGGTGATCCAGACTTCCGTGACCGCAATCCATGCGTGATCAGGTACAGTTTCATGTCATCCAATCATCATTCAGGAAGCTGGACCAATGGTACACCGGGCGAACATAACATCCGAGTTAGTACATGTGATACGTCGGTGCAGACGGTTATGTGATTGAAGGATGCTCGTTCAACCAATCATATGGACCATTACATTCTATAAAACATGATTTAATTTCATCAATCAAGATAAGCATTTGCTGCTATCAATTCCTCGTGTATTTCATTGGTGTCCGCAGTTCGGGATGGAGCCAATTCAGTTCTGAGCATTACAGTAAAGGTTCTTGTATTCCTGAATTCAGTACTATTCTGATTACCACAGTATATCACTTTTGAAAGTTGGCCTAATTTCTGTTTCTTCCTTTTCCATGCTTTCAGTTCCTTACTACTGTTATAATTCCAAAAGGCAGTGCTCGGTCGAGAACAGTCGTTTATTGAGGATCACAGATGGGGCGGTGGTGGCCCGGTGGTAACATCACCAAAGTATCACCACGGGGATGTGAGTTGGAAATCCACCACTATCACCTGATTTTTCCAATTCTGTGTGTTGAATTGATTTGATTGGCTGCTTCCTCCTTCCTGAAACTTGTATCTACTACTACTCGCAAGTGAGTAGTATCTCAGAACACTACTACATCCGTCAATATTTACGTGTCATCCATGTGCTCTGCTCACGTCTTACTCCTCATTTTTTCCCTCCCCCCACCTTTTCTGTGATCGGAAAATGGCGTAACGTTGATATTAGTGAATACCACTTTCTCATCTAACGCTCAGACTTATATCAAACAGGTCCCTCGGTTAGACTGGTTGAATGAATGTAGGCCATTCACCGTAACCCTGCCCTTTTCCCCGTTCAATCTTCCTCCGCATGCTTTATGCATTTCGCCTGCAGCCTACTTCTTCCTACCTCTTCTACCCGGTCCTTCCTTCCCAACGTGACCTCTTTGTTGTAATCGAACAGATGTCCTGTTTTTTTTTCTTCGGATTATTATGCGCGTTTAGTAATAGTTCCTGTACAATCGGGTGCTAACTCCCCAAATAGCTGCCGTCTTGTTTTGACACTTTCAAATAAACAATAGGATTGAATTAATCTTCACGGATGCCCATCGATAACCGGTTGCTGTCGGTACAGCTTGAGATCAAGTGACATAATACTACAGCGTGTTAAGCCATCCGGATTCTTCACTAAGCAAGCTGATTTGTCGGGACTCGAGTTTATTTGCGTTGCATGCGTGAGATGCTTTTTCGTTGTGTATCAGATGACCGTAGAGTTCTAATGGCCACGAAAAAGATGATCTGTGCGGTATCAAAACAAATATCTGGGTTCCGAACTGTCACTCATCGTAGTAGGAGGAAATTTTGGAATGTCTACAGCGATGAGGAACAGTGCATTGACATTGGGTTCCTGAAAGCGGAAAGCAAAAAGCATGGTTTTGATTAATCTGCTAACAGACAATATGCTTGGTGTGTTTCATCTGTTTCTCTTTCAAAACAAACCTGATCAATAACCATAGAATTGATCGAATATACTGATTTATCACTGACTGAAATGGTCACGCTACCCTTTGTCCGTTTCAGCTGTGCGAACTATCTATTTTCATTTCGCCTCGTCAATGAGAATCGAAACCAGAAGCTAACAGGCGGAACCCAGCTGTGATGACAATTTCACAATTGAACGTCTGATCAGACGGGTTCACGTTGTGCAGTCGTAACCATAGCAAAGGAGTGATGGTATAAACACATTTCTAGCGATCGTCTTACCACGATTATTTTTCCAACTAATGATTCAGCTTTCATCACTCATTTCCTTTAGTTTTATTAGTTCTAATGAAATAGATGACGAGGTTTTCCCTTCGGACGGCCTCCAAGATGAACAGCACCATAAATCGTGATGGGCGCTGATCAACTTTCTCGTTAGATCGCTAGTCAATAGAAATTGGAACCCCAGAGAGCATTCGTTCCATTACCTGTGTGGGTTACTGTATGCTTACTGCACAATAACTCTCCGTGATAACGTTACCACACATGTTTATATTTGAAACAACTTTTTTCTTTCATCTGTTTCACCATCTCGAGAGGAACAGTGTAGGCGTAATTCATACAAGTGATCATTATCGCGCGCGCCCTTACTCAGCTGTAAACGCCCACGTGTGTTCTTGGATAACTTTTTGAAATTATGACATCTGTGTGATACTCCGGGCCCTCGTAATCAACTGCAATCTAGTCTTATGAACCGTCCATCATAACTCTTGGCATTGTAAATCACGTACATTATTGTATTTCGCCCTGATCGTGAATCGATCAACGGATGGCAGTACAACGATAACATTTCGTCAAGTCCGTACATGACAGCTGAATATAGTGCAGATATGGTTATGCGTTAAATTCTAACGTAGTCACTGAGGTGGAGAGTTTCAAACTAGTGTATACAATCAACTGAGAAAATTGATCTTTTCGAACGTTTCATTACCGGTATCTTCAGCTCACATTAGAATTAGAAATAGACTTGTGTTTGTGTCTCTATTCGCACATCCTGTTCACCTGTAAATTCATCACTAATATCGCGAGTGAGTTTCCAAACGGCGTGATTCAAATAGCCTTAGTAACAAAATCTATCTGATTGATTCAACTGGCTTGACAACTGGCTCAGTACAGAGAGCTTGCCCGGTGCGAAGAGACGATTTGGACACAATTATTGATGCGATCGAGCAAGACTCAGAGGAAATCGAAAATATATTTGTTGTAAAATATACTCGGGAGAATGGGAATTATCAATGTTTTGCACGCATTCTGGGATTTGGAATGTAGCGGACATTTTCTCGTAAAACCGTTGTTTAGACTGTTTGGAAACAATGACGCATTGATTAGAATTAAGTAAGTAATTAGATCAAGAAATAGTGAATAATCCCTGATTTATAAAAAACGGTCTCATGATTCTTACATACATGCTGCATACAGACACACGGGGATCACTGTTCTTAAGTTTGCAGTTATCAACAAATTAATCGGTCGATTATTCAATAAATGAATGCTATTAGACGCGAATAATAGGAAACTCTGTCACGCAGCAAGCGGCCGAATTATTTTCATTCTGCCAATTCACCCATGAAAAAAATAGTTCTAATGAGTTTAATGAGTTTCAGCCAAGTTTGGGAAACGTTCGCGCTGAACTACGCGGTGATTCACGGGTGAGCTAATACAGTTTAGCGAACTAANCTAAGCATTGGATTTGGTACGTATAGGACAAAATACGATTAGCCAACTAAATAACTGGACCAATCAGTAGCATCGCATTTACACCCAATAATCGTGTCACGAAGTGTTGCGAGAACACGGTTAACCCGGTACCGGGTTACAACACATAACTAATATGGTCGATCGGACG